TATATATATATATATATATATATATATATATATATATATATATATATATATATATATATATATATATATATATATATATATATATATATATATATATATATATATATATATATATATATATATACATATGAAGAAAATACTACAAAATAAGGCTGATAAAATAATTCCTAACTTGAGGTGATGCGTGGACGATATCCATTTCCAAGCAATTCTGATTTGACAGCAAATCAATGTAACAGTCGATAAAATTAAAATAGCCCGATGACATTGTCAATGATAACTGATGATTCTAAAAGAACTATTAAGCACTCGAAATCTTACAGTAAATTAAACTATGTGCAATAAGGACAGACTTAATAAAGTAAGCTGAAGTTGAAAAACTTGACTTCTACGTTACAGCTGCCTCACTGTCATTGTCTACGTTACAGCTGCCAAAAATCAAATCTAAGAACCTGCATAGACAGCAAGTTTTTTAAAAACTCGAATTCCTGATTGATCGATACGATGCCCATTTGTAACAACGGATATATTCGTGTGTCAGCAGGGAAACAGTTTTCTGAATCAGATACTTTGCTAAATGCATTCAACGTTGACATAACTCGACTGTGCAACATATTCTTATATGCCTCAAGACTTTCTGAAATATGCAATGAGGAACATTTGAAATCAAGCACGAAAGCGGCCTATAGCAGAAAAAATAATGAAGTTAACAGAACAATTCATATTACTATACTAAGTTTTTTACTATACTAAGAATTTTCAGAAGAAAACCGTCTCTAATCTAAAGGAATATGAAAAGACTTAAAATAGGACCTCACTAACCTACCCAGCAGGAAATACGCATTAAGCTATTGTATTACAGTCGGTAAAAAAACTTTTCAATTATTTTGACTTTTCTGAAGGATAAAGCCATAAAACTCGTACTGATAAACGTGCAGAAAGCAGTGGTGCTTACTACTCACGAATAAGTTATTTTATTTTTGATATGACTGTATGATATTGTAATTAAACAAAATGAAACCTTTAAAAGGATGAATATCACAACTTTTCGACAGACTGATGGTTCCACGCACATTCAACATGAATGAGCATGATCCAACAGCTTCAACCAACGAATCAACAAAATCTGCAAGCTTTCGACAATTCTCGATAAGTATATATCTATCCAATCGATTTGTGAAATAAATCTCCGAAAGATTAGCCCTAAAAATTTCACAGCATTTACAAAATGTACTTTTTTTAAAATAAAAGTAGAGAGGAGCTGTTAGAAGTTTTCAAATATTTTCTCCCATAATTTTCTGTATAATCTAATTATTTTCTGCCAGTATTTATAGGAGTTTTCTACCCTCTCATAAACTTTAAGCCAACCACTATCCCGACTTCACAACAGTCAGAAAAAACAGGAAAGAGATACTGAAATTGGTTATCATCATGACAACTGAATTTCCATATTGATAAATATCAAAGAAATCGATTTTAACTTTTGAAAGGATGCTATTTTTTCTAACCGAATTTTCCTAGTCATTCTCAGACTCTACAGTGAAGAAGTTTTGAATAAAAATGAGGGGATTTACCCGGTAAAGATGATGTGATTGTCGAAAAGCAACAGTTTCATATGTTGTAAGCCGACCACTTCATTCACTCTTTCAGGCAGTATCATTTTCTTCAAACCACGTAAACATGGTGTATGGAATAAATACACTGAGGCACGCGGCAATAGTCTTTTAAAATTTCAATAAAGAAAGGATTCGATTAATATAAACTACTGAATTAAGTAGTGGAATAAATCACGCAGTTTCATTACTATTTTCGAGATCCAAAAATATTCTCTGCCTAGTCATCAAGAAATCTCAGTTATATAAGGATTAGTTATTAAATCAGCTTCAGGATATTTTAAGGAACTGTAACTCTAAACAGTGTAACGTATGCAAATACCTTAATGGTCTGAATACCGAGGATCTCTAATACTGCAGATATGTAGCGATTCTATTTTCCTCTCTCTTAGTTGAAATCATAATACATCTTTACCTTTTTAACAGGAGGATTGAATTATTTTCTGCACCACCACGTGTACCTCTCAGGTAATCCATAAGAATAGTCATTTTTAAATTTGGATTGATCTCCAGTGCTTTTTCCAACTCATTCATCTACAAAATTTGGGGAAAAAAGAACTTTCGAATACAAACGTTCAATTGCTATCCCACTGAGATTATCACTGATGCCTTATCGTCGTCCCTCAGAGACAACCATAAGTTTTCATCAGAAAACCTGCTAAGGTTGTCGGACTAATTACTTGCATAAATTTCAACTGCTACATGCTATCTCTAAAAGTGCTTAAAAAGGATCGGAAGCACAATACAACTTAATTAGATATGAAATGAAGTATAATCCTTTTGAGTGTTCATTATCCTTTAATAACTACGGAAAAAAATATACTGGTATATACCAAAGCCTTTTCATAACTGCCACTGCCTATGTATAAAGTCGAGATCACGATTCTTTCTTTAGCTTCTCGAATCAAACACTGTAAAACAATCAGATATACTTGGCAAATAAATTCGTGCAAAATATTTCTTTCCCTCCAATTCGATATCAAACATGACTTTCAAGCTTGAATTTCCCCACAGACACAAATAGGATTTAAATTCGAAACAAAATTCAAATACTTCAAAATTTTCAAAACGGAATTAGAAAGTTTTAACTTGAAAACCAAATGTCAGACCAATAATTTATCGTAAAATTCAGCCGGCGTTTCGATTACTTTTATCGTTTCCGGATCAACTTTAACATAAGGAGCATTTTCCGGGAGCCATTCAATTGAGTCGTAATTTGCTTCATCCAACAAATTCACCTTAATTTCCTCCATTTCTAGAAGACATAAAATAGCACAATAAGTAAAACACAACATGAACAAAAATACACGGAAAAACATTCATCATATGTATATGTAAAGAATATATAATGCATGAAACGTGAAGCCAACAAATAACGCGTGAAACATTAAAAGATTATCTCTTCACCAAGTATTCACCAAGAACACCAAGGAATTCATACATGTCATATTATAATGAAAAGTGTAAACAAACGTGTATTTGGATATCTCTCAATACCTTTCAACTGCACTAGAGTGTAAAAATCACGTATGCCACGTAAAGGCACTAATCAAGAATACTACTGAAATTTCGAATATCGATGCATAGATTATAAATAATAACCTTTCGGATGTCCAAGATTAATTATGAATCTGGAGGACGTCACGTAGAATCGTCACGTAACTGAGAATCATTATTAACACTTTAAAAAATAAATTCAAAAAAACGTTTCTATACTTTAGCCTCACGTTTTCATATTAACAGATAGACCGCAGTGAAAATTTCGTCCCACTATATAAAGCTTAATTTTTAATTTCGAAAGGACGATCTGTCTAGTATTGGTAACTCTAATTTTCTCCTTCCCCGATAAACCGTGTTTTCTTTCTTCATCGCTTGTTTCCATCCATTGTGACATTAGGATCGACCTTACTTTTGCGCCTATTAGACCTCTTCTGCGCAATCTCAACCTTCACTAATTAGTTCTTTAATTAGGTAGCTCTTCATAAAGTGTTAATGATGATTTTGATAGGTCATGCTGTACTTTCATAACACTCTACTGATTATGTTTGCTAAAGATCTGTTACGTTTCGAGTTTTCAATATGCCTTAATTAATCTTTGTTAATTAGGCTTTCTGCGGACCACTGAGCTATTGTGTGCTGAACCACGACATACGCTTCTAATCGATTAAGTTATTCTGTTGGAAATGAATTAGACAACTACTTTAATGACATTGCGTTCATTTTTTGCAAAACCTGTTTGGCTTGCCACATAACTCTTTCAGGGCAATTTGAAATAATCGATTGATCGTTTAGACTAGGCAACGATTGTTTGAATTATGAGCGATGTCGATTTTAGTGATGGAGAGGTAAAATTGATGATTGTTCCTTTTCTTACTAATCGGAAATTACACTGTAACTGTTTCATTCCTTATTGTTGCAAATCTTGAACCGAAGAACTTGAAATCTATAAGATATATTAGATCTTGCTATAATACTACTCTACTGCTTTTAACTTTATAAATCAGTACTAATCCCTGAATTTGAAGTTTCTAAATTTGGTATATTATCCGATGAAGCCAGATGAGGCCGATGATTCTTGTAGTATTTAAACATAACACTTATGCGGATATATTGATTTAGGAAGATGGTGCAACAAATTCAACACTTGCAACTGATAGTAAACGACATGCCCGTGCACAGCACAATGCTTTAGAACGACGTCGTCGTGATAACATCAAGGATATGTACGGTGCTTTAAAAGATACTATTCCTGGAATGCGTAATGAAAGAGTATATTTCTGTTTGTTCTCCTTTTTTATCCGTATTTCTTGAAGGAAATTTGTGGTATTTATCGCTTATTGTATAAATAAAGAAATTGAAATTATCTAAGAAATTTCAGGAACAATCATTTTGTACTAGCAGAAAGAAATCTACACCTCAAGATGTCATGTTATGATCGCTACACAAGAAATAGCAATATTTTGCTCTCTATTAGTGATATTTATCATGCAGTTTTTTTTTTTACTTTTATCAGCATTTTAATTTATAGGCTTCACGAGCTGCTGTTCTAAAGAAGTCAATCGACCTAATAACATCAAAGCAGGCTGATTTGGAGAAAATTTTAGCAGAAAATCAGAAATTGGAACAAGAAAATGATATATTGGAGCATGAGATTGAACGACTGAAACAAAGAGCCGAAAGTCAAGTTACTGGAACGGTACAATTTTGTTCCCTTTGAAGCCAGGTTATGTTGATATAAATCACAGGCCATCAGCAAACATCGATTGGATAATAACTGCACTTGATAGTCATCTGTTATTACCACGGAATATACTGAGAATCGTTTAAAAATTAACGTGCAACTGCGCCGGAAGATGTGTTGCAGTGAACGATCAGAGTTGCATGAACGGTTAGCCTTTGTGCTGCTCTCTGCTGCAGTTCTCATCTTTCATAATACAGAGGCACTTCCTGCTTTTAAGCTACTATGGCAATTGCGAAATTTGGCACCATGTATCATTTGTCTATGAAATATTTTTGAAATGATCCTATTGTCAAGTCTCAATTTCAAATAGTCCTAACTGAAAATCTTGGGGTTTCTATTATTGAACAAGATTTTCTTCGTGCCCTATGTCGCCGATTTACCAATAAATATAAATTTAAACCTTTGAACCCCCTAATTACTATAAGACCACTGATATCCCTCTCATATTTATTGTATTTGTGTAATTAGGCATCCGATGATGCAAATCGCTGGACGAACAGAGATACTCTAGGGAATGACGCGACATCCGGAAGTGATCTTTCCCAGTTGAATGCACACTTCACTCTTCCAAACCGTAAACGTCCAGCTCCAACCGATGACCAAAGTACGCTTCCAAGGAATGCCTAAATTTATTCTTCTGTTAGTTTAATGTCTTGTACAGAATCGTGACATTTCCTTGTTAAGTCCGAAATGCATTTACTCGGTATCAAAATATATAGTTACTATACTAGCGAGAACTTTTATCCTAAGATTTGTGGAATTTAAGTAACTAGGTCATTTGAAAATGTCTTCTGAAAGCGTGAGAACCTATTTAGCCATGCTTCTTGATGAATATTACGCTTCGTCACAACCGTCCCTCGACCTTTTGGGAACATGCTTTCTAATGTTTGAAATTTCACGCTGCTATGCCTGTTTACAATTATTATTTTACAGCTATCATTCACTCTCACTGAAAAATCAGTGAAAGCTGCTGGATCTAATTTTCTTTGAAGAGATTGTCTTATATTATAGAATACCAGCATTTTTGATTATTGATCATGTTCTGTTGAAGGGTAAATGTATTCTTTTTTGATTAAATCGAAGATAAGGTAATGCATGGCTGCCTGAAATATTGTTTTCTTGATGCAAAATGAGTGAAGTCTCTCCCAATGTTGGCTGAACATATATTTCGTGTCTAGCGGGCGTAAGAGCAGCTTAAAATGCAAATGACTGTATTGTATCTAAAAGACAATTACTGTGTATGGTGTACGCGCCTTTGCAGATGAAGTTATAGTATAGAGAAACGCAGAAACATAAGAGAAAATCTTATTGAGAAAAACCAAATAAGACTAATTTCATAGGAGACTTAATGGAAAATCAAAAATAATTCCAATAGTAACAATCCAAAACAAAGATGATAACAATGAATGGGGATTATTAGAAGTACACAAACAGAACATAAGTTTTTAGGAGTTTTACCAATGACCTTTTCTGACTTTTGGTCCTTCACATATGGAGACCGCTTCCGTTACCCTCTCAGCCTTTCCAAGCAGAGAGCAGAAGAACCGCAGGACAGGATTCAGTAGAAATATAGCAAAAGAAATACGATTTAATCAAGCTCTGAAAAGATACTTAATCTAAAAAAATTGAAACAAAACTGTCATCAAGATAAGGGAGCATAATAATGCAGTTGTCGCAAAGCAAGCCTGTAATTCGATGCAAATAAAAGTCAGAGCGCCTAGGTTAGGTCTAATCCATTCTATCAAGGTAGAAAATAGTTTGGATGTTACCAGTTCAGCCAAATTCATCATGGTGGCCCGCCCACTCACTCGTATCCTGAAGACTCATCTGTATAAGTTAATGGATGGCCAAAGGTTACATTAACAAGATATCAATATTCTCAACTGTGGCTGAGATTACAATTCTGCTTACAAGGAATATAAGAAGCAGATTCATTTCCGAACTACAGTTTTAAAAAATCAGAAAATTTGATCAACATAAAAAAATTATCTTAAAGAATCTTTGTTGCAAATGAAGGAAAGAAAGATGGAAGTTTAAGCCTAAACAAAATAATATTATTGAGGATTCTTGAAAAAAGGAATTTAAAATAACACTAAAACAAAAAACAAGTGCACGTCCAGGATGGTTATTCTACACTTGACCGATTATTCCAAATGACAAGTAAACCGAAAGAAAAAGAATTGAAAGTAGTAAAAGACGATTATCATTTAAAAAAAAGAAAACTCCAAAAATATCAACGAAATCCGCCACGTGCATTATTTTGTGCCTGCTGATTACGACGCATTTGTTCATCGTTGATAACTTTATCAATCATCATACGTCCATTACGTATGCAATCCACATCTCCAGTTAAGCTGAAATTAAACCGATGCTGGTAACATCAAAGAAGCAAATACGGAATATAATTCTTGAATAGTGTTTTACAATCATTTTCTTTCCTGCATTATCAACAAAATTTTCCCTTTTCTTGTTTCCTTTTTAATCACTTGTAGGTGATACCCGTTTCACTTTGAGATGAACAAATCTCATAGTACGCACTATACTGTTTCCTTTTCAAATATTACAGCATTTGCCTATCTGTCATTATTAGTAAACAAACACGTCAACTATGATATGTGTATTATTATTAGTTCTTTATGATCATTTAAAGTAACCGATTACGACACTAAAAGTTTAGAAAATATAAAAAGCCCGAGATACTTCGTCTCTTTTTTTTTCTTATACTACATTTCACTGCATAAATATTTATATGCCAAGTTGACATCCTTTTTTTAATTGCACACAACTTGATCTTCATTCTTTACAATAACTTATGCTTTGAAATGAAATGCTGCGTTACTGAAACAAAACTGTTTCTGTACCATAGTTATCCTTCTCGTTATGTAGCATATTTTTTATTTCCGTAACTATATAATGCAGTTATCCAACAGCTTCCACTGTTGCTTGTTCTTTAATTCATTTCATAGTACAATTAGCTCTGATGACAGGATATGTAAGAGATATTTTTATTTTTTCATATTTATGTGAACGAATAAAAGTATCAAAAATTCACCTCAACTTCTGCCACTGACTAAAAATACCAAATCCTGTGAAATTCTTTTATAAACTTCACACGAAACTGTCAGTCAAAACGTACCTTACAAGACGATTCCCTTGCCCTGCAGCTGTACCACGTTTGTGTACTTCCACTTTACAACCGCTTAAATGCTGAATTTCAGCCAGTGTCTTAGCTCTTGGGCCAAGGATTGCTCCGACAATAGTATCCGGAATCTGGAAAATGACTTACATAAAAGAAAAACAGAAATCGAAGCCCACTTAGGAGCAAATCTAAACTGTAATAAATACAAAGTGCCCACTTTTGGTCTACTGAAGATCACTCATGATAAGCTTTGCGTTAGAAAAAAATTTCGCGCCCATCAAAATAATAAAATAAAAAAAGTGATACAGGATCGATCAGAAAGACTTGTAAATATTTGCACCCTACCGTTGAACAGTTTTTCCCATTACCCTTTTTGCCTATGTAAGGAATCGAAAGTCTGAATTAAATTCCAAAGAAAAAAGACCACTTGCCCACCTCGAGATCAATATGATTGTTGTCGATAATCTTTTCCTTAATTACGGAAGCAGCAAAATTTTGTCCGCTCGATGAGCTACTGTTTTGTTTATTCTGGCTTAATACATCGATCAGAACGCCACCAACGCCACTCAGTGACTACAAGATATTTCCGTAAATTCGACTTCAAGTTTTCAATTTTTCTAAGTCTGTTTCTTCAAGTTCCTATTTCTTTAAGAGCATAATTCCAAAGTATTCCAATGACTAATTTACAGATTAGTTATTCGCTTTTTTATAAATGAATTCCTGCGAATCACAAGCTCGCCATTGTTAATTACAAAAATCTTCCTTTTTCAAAAAAAAAAGTGAAAATATATCAAATGAGCTCACGAAATAACAGCAACTCACATGACCACACACAGATGCTGTTTTCGAAAACTGTTAAACAAAATACTCTTACCGTTTGGCATCACTTTATGCCATTATTTCCACAGATAAGTTTCTCAAAAAGTTCCATATTCTAATCTAACAACACATCAAGTGTTTGACTACAGTCTTACCTAACATCAAATGTTTCATTACATTCTTATACACTTTGGTGTTTTGTAATGTTTTTTTGAAGTCATGCACAACTTAATATCGAAACAGGATTTAAAAACTGTAAACATGGTGAATTTAACAATTGCAGTATACTCCTTGTGAAGTCGACAAAAAATTAGTGCAGAGCCCTAGCATATCTTAAAAAGCTGGTATCCACAGATGAAACAAACACCTACCATATAAAAAGAATGGTATCGAAGTGCTAAGTTTGGAGTCTATTAAAGAAAAAAAAAACAAATGCAATTATAAATAGAACCTTGCCGAAAAAGATACTAAAGTCAGAAACTGGCGAAATACAAAGTAGAATTCGAAAAATATGTCTCGTGAAAAACTCTAACGAATTGTAAACTTGATTATAAAATAATAGAAAAAGTGGAGCAAACGCTGCATGCAAGGAATTCATTGTCAATGGAGATTCAAATCCAGAAATTGTGACTGCTGAAAGGATTGGAAGACAGTCCCAAAAACCGTCCACAATGTAACACTCATAAGGATCCAAACTGTTTAAGCTAACCGCCCATGAACTATGGCTTAACGAGTACAACATATCAAACGGCCTGAAAATTCAAGAAAATCTGGAATTTTCGGAACAAAACGTAAACCACCCAAAAATCAATGGAGGAGAAACCGTAAATACTGGACGGGATGCATTATTATGGAACGATATTAGCATACTATTTATCTGCATACTGATTTTTACTGGCAATCCAGAAATAGAAATGTACTTATCTTTTTATGAAAGATGGAAATTACAAAACGTGATAAAAATTTTATGTTTTTCTGGAAATTTAAAATAAATGGGAAAAATGGATGAGTATCAATATTAGATATCAGTAGGGAATTCAAAGAGTACAACGACAAAGAAGACAAAAAATTGAAAAAGAGAAAAATATTGGGCGGAAACAAACCTTACCGACAGGTTATAATAATGATATGGGAATTTGACAGATAACGTGGAAAATGCAAATTGTTAATACAAATATTAAAGCGAGAAGGTAAAAATCAAAAAACGATTAGAAAAAAAAATTTTCAAAATAATGAAACTGATGCGTAGCGATGAGGCTACATAAGATTACTTTTTAAGCTGATAAAAATGATTACTTGCCAATTGCACATTAAAATTGAGAATTAATGAAGTATAACACCGAAGAGCGCGCCACATTACTCACGCCTGTTCTTTCTATTTCATAACAGAAATTTATCGGGCATGCATGGTCGACGGTATATAAAGAGGATTTAGATTAGAAAATGATTTAGAACAAAATAATCCGTTAAAATTTCCTAAATATAGCTTCATTTGATGATCAAGAAATTGACGAAGCAGCAAAAAGCTATGATATAATCCAAAGTTTATGAAGTTTTTTTTTTGCTTGTTATAGAGAAGTCCAGAAAGTGAAAGGTATAGAAAGTGAATTAAAATTTTCATAAAAAGAGTCCATGAAGTGACAAAAGATACAAATCTCAAACTGGTAGACTTACAAGCCTTCAAAAAAAGACCACTAGTTACTGCTTTATCGATAAAAGAATGATTGTACTTTGCTTAAATCGTTTTGTCCTCCGCCTGATGTTACTCCTGCTGTTCCTCCTGATGCACCACTTCCTCCGCCTGCTCCACCAGAGAATCGTCGATCAGCATTTTCGACAGTAGCGGATGTACCTGATAAGTTAGTGGTCTCGAATCGTTGCGGCTGTGATAAACTTTGAGAGGAAGTCAAAGAGGGAGTTTCGTTCGTCCGCATCTGTGCCATTGCGGCAACACCGAGTCCAAGACCCAAACCCATGATATTATATTTTGCCAAAATCTGGAACATATATAGTCTGGCAAACGAAATCAACGTACCAAGTAATTTAGGTTTAGTAGAAATAATACCATTAAACCAAGAAAAAAAAGTTGAAATACAGGGAGAGGCGAACAGATCCAAAAAAGAACGAATTTGAATGAAAGAGGCAATGGAGCTTTTCTAATAAGAAATACTAATAAGAAATACAGAGATGCTAATAAGAAGCTAATAAGAAATACAGAGATGAAAAAACGGATTTTTGTGAGGGTTGATACCAATTAATTAGCAAGATTTACCTGCATGGCTTGCATAACTTCTGCTACACTTGTCTCATTGAAGCCAGATGTGCGTAAAGTTGATTGCAAACTGTCCAGGAATGCTAGCAACTGCAAAACAAGATAAATTTGCTCGAAAATTTAAAATAAAATCAAGCACAGGTTAATCCAAACATGTTTCAGAACCCAACTGTATTTGATTTCCTCCACACTCCGAAAACGATACGAAAACCACCCCAAATCACTAAAAAATACGCTTTCAAGAAAGAACTCGAAAATAAGGGAAATCTGGCATAATAAAGGTAACATATTCAAAACAAATCCGAAAACACATACCTCATTATTCCCTAAGCCTTGCATGGGGTTAAATTTAAAACCAGCCATATTGTTCTGCTGATATAAATCTTTTGCTGGTGCTGCATATGTCGCTTCTAAACAAAAACAACGATTCAAATTCAACAATAACAATGTGTATCAGAAATTTGAAACTGTACTCCATTTCGCTTTCAATGACATATCTCCTAGGTGAAAATTTCCTGAACTTTTTGTGCACGTTACGGCATGAAGCGAATGAAAGCAATGTGAATGATATGAAAACATTCGCACAGTGGTACGGAAACATTCACATGATGGTACGGAAACATTCGCATGATGATACCATCACCAAGAAGTGGGCAGATGCGCAGTACATTTTATTAGTGATGCTATATGAACAGATTTTTAGGGCAAACAAAGTATCCTAAAATGCAATTTTAAATTATGTCGGCTTGAGATGAACCATGACCCACAAAAAAAGTGAAAACGATGAGAAATGACCGACTACCTATAAGGACCCAACTTAAATGTTTCTGTAAACAAGCTCAATGAACTGATTACTATCCCGAAAAACACCAAAAAGTGAATTCACTAATTATCTATGTAGCATGTCCATAATTTTAACAAACGTATACTATGAATTATTTTCTGAAAATTGTCGATAGTGCATACATAGCACATCAGAATTTCAGCTAGACTCAATTTCAGCTCGATAAACAAGTACTGGGCTAAATGTGTTCGAGATGTTATCGAACGTTGGTAATAATGACTGCATCACAATGACTTCCCAGGCCTTCATAGTATGCGGTTTCATATAAAAACTACGGAACGGTTAAATCCAAGCCATTTCTACGCCGTTTCTTCTGTACTAATCCTGAATTCTATCACTGTCATTCATAGGTGTTTATAATGAACCAGTAATATTAGAAATACCCACTAACAAGAATGGCTTGGAGCATTAATGACGTTCTGATTGGGAAAAATATGCATAATATAAGAAAAAATCGAATTTATCGCTTAAAAAAGGCTGGAGCTTGATTAAGAAGAGGCAAACCTGAGACTGTTTGACGACTGCGATCAGAACTGCCCGGACACAAAGTGGGCACTATTTACAATGTAGGAAAAAAGTGCGGTTTTATTCAAACCATGTCTTGAGGAAAAGATCAATGAAAATAGCAGAAGAATAACTTTTTCTCCTCGTAATTTGCTCAGTATTATGAGTAATAGTAAAGAGGAGGAGGAGTAGAAAGCAGGAATCCTTACACAATTCAAAACAAGAGAAAAAGATCAGACCTTCACAAAGAATGGAAGACATGATCTGAGAACACTTCAAATTTCCTGGGAAATTCGTATTCAGAAAAATCGGCAGCTTCCTTTCCATCCTGACTTCCCATAATCTCCCCCTCTTTACTATTCGAGAATGATCATTATCAGTCCGCCAAATCTCACCTAAAGCTCTTTGCTGATTCGGCTGCCAAACTTGCGCAGCAGCATGACTGATCTGTCCAAAATGGTTTTGCTGCACTGCTGGAGCACCACCAAACTGGGGTGCATTCTGGCTACGATTGCTGAAATCGAAAGGCTGAATCGTCTGGCCCTGGACACCACCACCTATTCCATGCAACAAGCCACTAGCAGGACCAAAACTATCATCCTTATGATCTGGTATTGTTGCCATGGCATGCTGCGGATCTGCTGCTACCTTTTCCAAGACACGTTGAAGAGCATCCATGAGAACTTCATCCTGTTCAGCAGCTATCGTGATGATCCGCTCTTGGCTTACTTTAGCTTCCTGGCTACCAGCTTTGGGATAGACTTGGATATTTGCCCCAGTCTGCTCACGAATTTCCTTGATACGCGCACCACTCTTACCAATCACCATTCCGGCCGAAGTATTTGGCACCACGAGTTTCATCTGAATTTTTGATGACTTTTTTTTCAATCCAATACGGTCTTGGATACACCTGCAGCGTTTTGCACAGTCCGGATGAGGTTCTACGGTCAGCCCACACAAAGTTCAAACATTTTGTGATAGAAGGACTAAGTTAAAAATATCTAAAACAATTCGCAGTGATAAAAATGAATTAAATGAAAAAACAAAGATAAATTCTTGAGTACTTTAGAGTAGTATATAGTAATATAATAGTATAAAAGTGATGTTGCCCCATCAGGAACATGCAAAACAAACTCATCTACTACCTAACCGTCAGTAATTACACAAATTTTTGAAGAGAAAAGATTCTGAGGTTAAGAAAAGATCCGAATTCGTCTCTTCAGATAAGCATATCGAAAGGTATTTGTGTGAGAGAGAATAGACTCTGACCACGAGAGGTAAGCTTTTCTGGAACAATCTGTAAACCAAACTGATTAGAAGGGTAATAAAAGATACTGAAACTTCCGGAATTCAACTAGAATACATATTGAGAGCAAGATGACTGACTTCCTACAGCAAACTGATCATGAATTTCAAAAAAACAAAAGAAAACTGTTTGGATGGATATTTTTTTGGAAATGAAGAGATGAACAAGTGTAAAAATTCTAAAAACAGTATGAAATTGAATTCGAAGAGAACTAGAATTTCTCGAAATCGAAGTTAATCTAAATTTTCATAAAGAAATGTAATTCGCGAAAGATGATAATTTGGACGAATTTTAGTTAGACTGTGGCGAAATATGAAGGGAAACAATGTTGAAGCATTTCGATATTTGAAATTCTCTCTTACCTCATTTTTGCGTTCCATTCCTTTATGATCGAAAATATCTGACGGGGTATTGTTGTCCACTTTCTCACGAATTTTCTCCAAAATCACATCGGAAACTTTCAGGACAGATGCGATTTTTCCCTTCACCAAACAAATACGTTCATTGGTTCCTAAAAATTTCAAATGCTACATCTGTTCATATGCAGAAAATATCCAACCATCAACTTGAAGAATGAATAAAATGAACCGGATTGCCTGGAGGTGGACATTTCTCGCGATTAGTGTAAATATTTTTTATACATGATCAAGTTATCCGATGGGAGATCCAAGTGATTAACGAGTCATTTTCAGGAGATCCATCAACAGTTAGAATCTTGTCATGCAACTAGTATTAAAAATGGTGAAACGAATTTTGCTTTTTAGATTTAGGTAGAATAGTAAACTGTTTTGCGGTTGTATACCAGGCTAAGCTAAAAATAAATAAATAGTCCTCATTCTGAAAACAAATTCATGTCCCATCTGAAGTAATTTATGGAGTATTAAAGACAAACCTGGATATACTTCCTGATTTTTACTCATTTGCAAACGACAGCCGGATTCGCTTTTTAAATTACGCATCGTTTCTCCACCTTTGCCAATTAAAGCACCAACAGCCGCTGAGGGAATCAGTACTTTCACCTGCACTATATTGTCTAGAAAACAAAGACGAGATTTTGCCCGGTTTTTACACAGTGATTGTCACATCTTGGAGAACTTTTTCAACGCTTTTCCCAAACCCAAAAAAAAAAACATGAAAAATGCCAGAGTTTCGCTAAACTATGATTAATGCAATCAAGAAAGAAGTCCGAGGTATAACTCCATTTGTTGTTCTAGCAGTGATTCAAATCGAAGATCCACAATCTTCAGCTGCGATAATAGTTTCTCATCGAGTCTTTCTTGAACAATTTAATTATCGACACCAAATTCTTACATTCCTTTTTTCGTTAGCCTTACAATCCTTTTTCCGTTTAGTTAATCCAAATCATTGCGATTCCCTCCAGACAATTGTAATTGACGCTCGAACTCACCTCTTTCCAGAGAAAAGCTGCGATGGAAATAGAATATGCCTCAGAAGATAGTAGGCTTCTACAATCCCATTTCGTATTCCATTTCCTAATACTTGTCAGTTTCTTGCTCACAAAAAAATTTTTAAATTCATTTCGAGAAGTTCGCAATATTACCCTCTGTATCTGAAACATGCGCTTTCTTCGTTGCTGGCCCACCACGTTCATCACGAGCACGCTTTTGTCCAGCCGACATAGTCCCTTGCATAATAGCCGAATTGCCTTCTACAATCGCACCAGATAGAAAAACCAAAATCTGCACCAGATAGAGAAACCAGAAAAACCAAAACTTCTTCAAAATTATTAAATGATCCTCATTCAAGACATTATAATTTAGCGTGATTTTCATTACTCGCACTTTTCTCCATGTTTATTTATTTGTTGGATATTTAACTTACTGCGAAAAATGCAAGAAAAAAATCTGAAATATGCTACATACAGCGTTATGAACTATACGAACTGCTTTTAAATTCTTCCAATTTCAGACAAGTTGTCCTACAATATCCGTGGTAGCCAACTCCAAGGTTTAATTACCGCCTTCTGATTTGAGGGAAAACTCCAGTTGCTAGGATTTAGAGAGAAAGAGAAAAACTGAAAGAAAAAATTCTGGAGAGGGTGACATCTCTTTTCCTCCTTTCGATATTATTCCAACAAAGTACTCTTTATCCATGTCACATGCAAAAAATGCATACAAAATACTAATCTGAGATACGACTTCACCTCCCCTTCACCCAGCAACTGTAATTTGAGTTTGAACCAATCCCGCCATGATCGAATATTTAAATACTTCGTAGCTGATGGAAATGCAACTCCAAATACTATTTACTTTCTTTTCTACTAAAACTTGAAACTCGAAAACAATTCCAAATTTTACCATTATCTTTGTTATCGTCCATTGTATCACTTGCAATATCGTTAGCCATCGGGTTCAAGCCAAACACCTACAAGAAAAGACACTGTGAGAAAACATCTCCGGAAGAACTTGTTCAAATGAATTCGCAACATCTGAGGTAGTAAGCAAGTGCTTAAATGAACCTTTAAGCATGGAATTGATTATTGATGTCATTATAAGTACATAAATAATTATGCAACTTGTAAATTACTGTAGAAGTAATATACATGTAAATGGGTCACTAAAAGTATTAATTGCATCACATTTAATTATTCCAACTAGTGAGAATAGCATTAACTCAATAACAACAAGTAATCACAGGAAGAGTGTCTTCGTGAAATTAGTACATTGTACACCCTTATTCAACTTAATATTATATAACAAGCAATCACTACAAGCAATTCCTACGTATTTCAATTAGCTACGAAACCTTGATCTGCACACTAGGCAGTAAGTGATTTCCAAGATCCCACTGAAATCACAGGAAATTTCGCCA